CCTTCTGACTGTGCTGCACCTGCTGGAGGAAATGATGGCACCCAGGCAAAAGCCTTGAGGACTATGAAGCTGAGGCCAAACAATGATTTGGATACTGCCATGAAGAGGCCAGCTTCTAAGAAAACCCTAGCCAAAGCAGAGCCCAAGCAAAAGGCCATTGTGAAGAAGAATGCTGAGGAAGCAAAGCATGTCACACCAGCTTTCCTCAAAGGAATCTATGGATGTGTGAGATGCCGTGGCAGTGTGAGTGGCTGTGACAAGTGCCAGTCTCCCTACTTTGGGGGGACTCAGTCTCAGTTCAAGACAGGAATACAACAACTGGTAACAAGAAAGGCAGCAGGGGAACAAAAGGAAGTGTAAATATTTCCTTGGTCAGACAAAAGATCGTGGGCTGCCTTGTGGTAAATAACCATGCAAACACAGCAATGGTAAATCATACAGGCAGTGGGGGAAAACAGAAACGCTTAGGCTTTCTCTTGACATACTTATCTAGACATATTTTCCAGCATGAAAGTAAGTGACCACTAACTTGCAGTGCTGCCCTTGGTTCTGCTTGTTGTTTTTCAGTTTTGGCTTCAAGAGCTATCATTTGAAATCCGTTTGCCTGCAAGGGCTTTTTTGTTTGAATATGTTTGAATCAGTAGCACAGCATTGTGGGCACAGCTTTCTGCAAGGCTACTGCATGAAGCAAGGCCTGGCCCAAGGCAATGTGTGCCAAATCTGCAAATGACATATTTGGAGGCCATGTTAGCAGCAGGTTCCGCAGCAGGCCATGGAACACTAGTTTTTGCCTTTCACACAGTCATACTCCAACATTGTCCAAGATTACTTTTATCACCTTTCTGCAAAGAAATGCTTCCAGCCAGCCATGCCAGACTTTCCAAAATTGCAAAGTTTTAAACAGAGAATCCCATTTTGCAGCCAGTCAGCCCTGGAAGCAATATTGACTTTGGCAGCCCAGGAAGGCATTCCTGCTAGTCACAAAAGGAAACAAATCAGAGAGTTTGTTGAGCAGGTCATTGCTGGCCTTCAGCTATGATTTTGGGAGAGGACCCTGTGGAATTGGCATTTGCCAACATCTTTAACTATTTGGCTGGTGCTTATGCAGCTGGTGGCTGCTTTGCGGATTATTTTGACAAGGTACATGACAACAACCCTGGTTCCTTCAACAACCCTTGGTCTTGCATTCTTTATGTAGATGAACTGCACCCTGGCAACCAATTGGCAGGGAATTCTAGGAATACATGGGCAATTTACTGTTCATCTGCCCAGTTTGGGGCCACGCTGTCAAATTCTGAAAGTTGGTTGACATTGCTCGGGAAGAGGAGTGAGCAAGTCTCACAGCTGGCAGCCAGCATTGGCCAATGTTTCAGGTTGATCCTGGAGCACATGTTTGACAACAAATATGCTCATCCTCATTCTGAGGTACTTTTACAGGGAGGTCTTAAAAGACTGAAACTCTCTGTTGGATGTTGCAACAGACCAAGAAATCCTGTCCTCGTGGGCAAGGATGCAAGAGTGCAACAAAACCGAGTTAAGAAGGTGGAGCCAGGCTTCTGGGGTTGATTATTCCCAGCATTCACTCTTGCTGAGTGACAAGCTGAAGTCCCAGAACCTTCTGAGACCAATCACCCAATACATGCATGATTATATGCATGGGCTCTGCCCAAATGGTGTGCTGAACTAGGTATTTGTTTTTGTGGATCCAACCGCTTGCTTCCAGTGGTGTGGCTGAGATTTGGAAGGCACATGGCTTTGTGCAACTTTGGGCCCAGCCTGCCATTCACAAATGCAATTTGAAAAGGCTATTTCTGCCCAAAGCAGTGGAAGGCCACAAAAAAGCTGGGAAGTTCAGATGCATCCTCAGAGATTCTGGGTCTGTACCAGGTGCTCAACGTTTTATGTTTACTAATCTTTCTGAAGCCTGCTGCCAAGCCAAGCGCTGGAAACACTTCAGCTCGGTTTCCGTGAGTTAAATGGCCACAAATCCTGTTGAACTTGACCTGGCTCTGCACCAAAGCCTCCCAGACCTTCTCCGGAACCCTGTTGAACCTGACCTGGCTCTGCACCAAAGCCTCCCGGAACCTTCTCCGGAACCTTCACCAGAACCCTGTTGAACCTAACCTGGCTCTGCTCCAAAGCCTCCCGGAACCTTCTCCGGAACCCCGGAGCCCTGTTGAGCCTGACCTGGCTCTGCACCAAAGCCTCCCGGAACTTTATCCGGAACCCTGTTGAACCTACCAAAAGGCTCTGGAGGATTAAAAGGATTAAAAGGATTAAATCATTTAATCCTTTTAAACCGTTTAATCCTTTTGATCCTTTTAATCCTCCAGACCTCCCAGAATCCCAAGAAAAGCCCAGCAATTTAATTCTTTAAATCCTTTTAATCCTTTTGGACCGGGAATTCCGGACCCCCTGGAGGATTAAAAGGATTAAAAGGATTAAAAGGATTAAAAGGATTAAATCATTTAATCCTTTTAATCCGTTTAATCCTCCAAAAGGCTCTGGAGGATTAAAAGGATTAAAAGGATTAAATCCTTTAATCCTTTTAATCCGTTTAATCCTCCAAAAGGCTCTGGGGGATTAAAGGGATTAAATGGATTTAAATATAGTTCTCAAGGGCTTGGACCGGGAATTCCGGACCCCCTGGAGGATTAAAAGGATTAAAAGGATTAAAAGGATTAAGATCATTTAATCCTTTAATCCTTTTAATCCTCCAAAAGGCTCTGGAGGATTAAAAGGATTAACTGGATTTAAATATATTTCTCAAGGGCTTGGGCCGGGGAATTCCGGACCCCCTGGAGGATTAAAAGGATTAAAAGGATGTTAAAGGCTTAAAAGGAATTAAACGGATTCAAACCAGTTAACCTTTTGATCCTCAAGACCTCCCAGATCCCAAAGAAAAAGCCCCAGCCCCAATTTAATTACTTTAAATCCTTTTAATCCTTTAATCTCCAAAAGGCTCTGGAGGATGAAAGGATGTAAATGGATTTAAATATAGTTCTCAGGGCTTGGGCCGGGAATTCCGGACCCCTGGGGATTTTTTAAAAGGATATTAAAAGGATTAAAAGATAAATCATTGTAATCCTTTAATCATTTTAATCCCCCAAAGGACTCTGGAGGATTAAAAGGATTAAAAGGATTAAATTCATTTAATCCGTTATCCTTGTAATTCCTCCGCAAAAGGCCTGGAGGGATTAAAAGGATAAAAGGATTAAACATTTAATCCGTTAATCCTTTAATCCCCAAAAGGGCTCTGGAGGATAAAAGGTTAAAGGATTAAATGATTTTAAATCCTTTTAATCCTTTTAATCCTTTTAATCTTTTAATCCTTTTAATCCTCCAGACCTCCGATCCCAAGAAATAAAAATCCTTTTAATCCTTTAATCCTCCAAAAGGATTAAAAGGATTAAAAGGATTTAAATATATTTCTTCTCAAGGGCTTGGGCCGGGAATCCGGACCCTCTGAGGATTAAAAGGATTAAAGGATTAAAGGATTAAATATTTTCTTCCTTTTAATCCCCCAAAAGGCTCTGGATTAAAGGATTAAATGATTTAATCCTTTTAATCCTTTTAATCCTTTTAATCATTCCTCCAGACCTCCCAGAATCCCAAGAAAGCCCAGCAATTTAATTCTTTAAATCCTTTTAATCCTTTTAATCCTCCAAAAGGCTCTGGAGGATTAAAAGGATTAAATGGATTTAAATATATTTCTCAAGGGCTTGGGCCGGGAATTCCGGACCCCCTGGAGGATTAAAAGGATTAAAAGGATTAAAAGGATTAAATCATTTAATCCTTTTAATCCTTTTAATCCCCCAAAGGCTCTGGAGGATTAAAAGGATTAAAAGGATTAAATCATTTAATCCTTTTAATCCTTTTAATCCCCCAAAAGGCTCTGGAGGATTAAAAGGATTAAAAGGATTAAATGGTTTAATCCTTTTAATCCTTTTAATCCTTTTAATCCTTTTAATCCTTTTAATCCTTTTAATCCTCCAGACCTCCCAGAATCCCAAGAAATGCCCAGCAATTGAATTCTTTAAATCCTTTTAATCCTTTTAATCCTCCAAAAGGCTCTGGAGGATTAAAAGGATTAAAAGGATTTAAATATATTTCTCAAGGGCTTGGGCCGGGAATTCCGGAACCCCTGAAGGATTAAAAGGATTAAAAGGATTAAAAGGATTAAATCATTTAATCCTTTTAATCCTTTTAATCCCCCAAAGGACTCTGGAGGATTAAAAGGATTAAAAGGATTAAATGATTTAATCATTTAATCCTTTTAATCCTTTTAATCCTCCAGACCTCCCAGAATCCCAAGAAAAGCCCAGCAATTTAATTCTTTAAATCCTTTTAATCCTTTTAATCCTCCAAAAGGCTCTGGAGGAATTAAAAGGATTAAATGGATTTAAATCATTTAAATCCTTTTAATCCTTTTAAATCCCCCCAAAAGGCTCTGGAGGATTAAAAGGATTAAATGGATTTAAATATATTTCTCAAGGGCTTGGGCCGGGAATTCCGGACCCCCTGGAGGATTAAAAGGATTAAAAGGATTAAATCATTTAATCCTTTTAATCCTTTTAATCCCCCAAAGGACTCTGGAGGATTAAAAGGATTAAAAGGATTAAATCATTTAATCCTTTTAATCCTTTTAATCCTCCAAAAGGCTCTGGAGGATTAAAGGATTAAAAGGATTAAATCATCTAATCCTTTTAATCCTTTTAATCCTCCAAAAAGCTCTGGAGGATTAAAAGGATTAAAAGGATTAAATCATTTAGTCCTTTTAATCCTTTTAATCCCCCAAAAGGCTCTGGAGGATTAAAAGGATTAAAAGGATTAAATCATTTAATTCTTCAAATCCTCTCAATTATCCAAAAGGCTCTAAAAATTATCAGAATTAACCGGAACAAAATGGTACCTAAAGGTCTCTCGATCATATATATATATACACTATGAATTCGCAAACTGGATTCTCTCAAGAAATGTCAAGCAAAGCAAAAGTCGGCCTCCAAATGGGCTGCCATGGACATCCCAAGAGGCAGAGACATCCCGCAAATCTGACAATTCCGGTAGCTGTATCCACCAGCCTTTCAGGCTTTCAGGTGCCAAATTGCATTGACTTGGACTTACACTGACCACTTATTCTGCCCTTCCCTTGACTTGAAATCCGTGCCAAGGACCCCCCTGTGTTTTCTTCAAATCCGGCCTCTTGGCCCGGAAGCAAGGAAGGTCCCCTTGCTCCCCTGACCAAAATGACTCCATCACATTGATCGATCCCAACCCATGATAACCCATGGACATCTCATGATCTGAAATGAGCAAAAGAAATTGAAAGTGGTTGCCTTGCCCTGGAAGTGTGGCCTCGACCTTAGAGAAACACCACCAGTGGATACAAATTATGTTTCTTGGAGCATCATTTCACACTCAGTGTTTGATGTAGTTGTATCATCTTGTATCATCTTATATCTAACACGTCTGACTTCAATGAGTCCAGCACTGTCACTATGAGCAGCCACGGTGTGCTGGCGAAGAGCCTTCATGCATCAAAGGTTCAGGGCTTTGCGACTGTGGTCTGTGTGGGTAAAGCTAACCGCAGCTAGCCAACCTCAGAGTCACGAAAAGGTCGTCCACATTGCTGGCAATTCACCTGGAAAAATCAAGCAAAAGCTGCAATTGCCAAGCTCCAAATTGCTGTGCCTTCATTTCAGCTTCTGGCTTCCAGTTGCCATACCTCGCAAAAGCAGTTTTTAATTCTACTCCATAATTTCTCCGCAGAAGCACTTCGCAGCCTGCAAGCGGACTTTTGTAAACTAAGCCATTGGCTTCTTAAGCTCATGCACCTGCAGAGAATAGTGCAAGGAGCGGCGGCGACAAAATCCACCCTGCACGAGTACCTCCTTTGTGGCACCTGTCGATGGTGTGTCTTGAGCCCCTGTGCGCAAGAAAATGTCTTGCCACCTCAGAATGCAAGAACTCTGTGCCCCAGAAGACATCACGAATGCAGTGCGAAAAGGATTCAACAGGATTCCACAGCCGAGCCAACACAAACATCACCATGCCATGCCCTGCTCTTCATGGCAGCCAGGACGCACGCATCGCATTTCAGCGACGTAGGCTCAGCATCTTGCCCTGGAGAAAACATCCAACAGCTAACAGCTAACAGCCATGTGCTGGCCATGCTGATGAGAAACCATAAAGTCATAAAGTGTTTTTAGATGTTTGATGTCTTCCACCGCCTTTGGCGCTCTTTGGCGCTGAGAATGATGACCTTGACTCATTGCTTCAACTGGTTCACGCTGTCAATCATAACAATCATAGGCAACCAATCAACCAATCAACTTGAGTCCCACATTTCGGCCATGTCAGGCCATGTCACTTCGATTCGCCTTGCATTCCGAGGTGGTAAGTCCAACTCCTGGCGACAAAAAGGTAAGAAATTGACGGGTTGGCTTGGCTGATTTAACGTGATTTAACTGGCTTAAAAGCCTGAGGATGCCATAGGATGCAAAAGGAATGCGGAAAACGCCTCGATGGTGCAGATGACACTCTCTGCGTGTGCAAGTTCTTGAATGACCTCGAACAAATTAAATCAACGGCGCAAACAATGAGTAAAATGACATAAAAAAATCTGAAAAGGCCCAGGCCTTCCAGTGCTGTTCCTTTTGCTTTCGTAGCCAGGAAAAGAGGCAGCCACAAATTGCACGGGATCACAAAGCAAGGAGAAACCATGCCTCCACAGAGAGACCAGAATGACCAGAATGTCACAAGGCTTGCCATGGATCTTCCCGGATCTTCCCGGATCTTCCCGGATCTTCCCGGATCTTCCCTTGCCTAGATGCTTGCTTTAGCAGCTCCCACCGCTTTTCCTGGCACTAAGACGATCCAACAAAGATCGTGGTGCTGTCACCGGTTCGTTCTATCATGCATTACAAGGGCCTGCCCCTCCAGAAGGGTGAGAACAACTCTTCCTTTGGGTCGGAGATGCTTGGCCTCAGACATGGTCTTGGTGCAAAGATGTCCGAGTCATTTAGCTGATGTCAGGAAGTGTGAAATTGGCAATGTTACCTTGGCACCCTGCCACAGAAGCAAAAAAATGCGCAAGTAGAAATTGGTGCAAACGAAAGTCCTTGAGCAAGAAGGAGCAACTTCCGAAGGATAAAGTTGATGCTGTTTTCCGATCTTCAACCCTCACATGCAGATTGAATGGCACGAGCTAGTCCTCTGTTCCCAAATGAGGATGGTTCCATGCCTAGGGAGAGTCACCAAATCTGGACTTTACCACGGCAACCACAGACTTCTGCCACGGCCAGGTCTCTGGCAATCAAATCCCAGAGAACACCGTCCTCAGGTCTTTTTTGCGCATCAAATGCATCAAATACATAACCCGCATAACCCTGAACAAATGGATGTTCTCCAGGAGTACGGTAGTCTAATGATCTACATGCCTGCTTGCAACCGTGGCACACCAAAAGTCCGAGTCAGATCCCATGCATTCACTTGATATCCTGAGGGAGAAGTTGCCAAGATAACGATGTTCAAGAAGTGATGTTGATGTTCAAACACAAGGTGCGCACGCGTTAGCGCCATTTAGCGCCCCAGCAATGAAAAGCTTTTTGGATCTCAATAGCGCTCTGACATGTGAAGGAGTATTCCTTCAAACTCTCCGCGAATTAGTCGAATTGGTTGCCTGCAGCATCACCAACTGTTGTTGCCTTTGGGACATTGGACGATTCAACCAATGATCAATTGCGGGACTTGCGCGTGCGGAGATGCTCCAGAGTTCTTTCGCCAAGAACTCCTCTTAAGAATGAAACAAGTCGAGGGCGTGCAACTCCACTCAACTTGCAAATACTGTATCTTTGTTAGTCGAAAAAGACTCACATGTTGTTTAATTTCTGTTTGCATCATAGAACATGGTTCGCATGCCTCACCCTCTGCCACAAAGCTTGACGATTTGCACAAGCTTTGCATGACAGGCATACCTTTGCCGAAGGAAAATGGAATGCAAAACACATGGCAGCCCGACGAAGGAGCAGGCCTCCTCTGAAAAGTCTCAGAATGGGAAAATTGTATAAAATTGATTAAAATTCACTGGATTCACTTCTGTGAGCCAAACCACCAGTTTATAAATGGCTGGAACCACTTGCGAGAACAGGTGAGTCAGAGGAGTGCCTGCATCTGAAGCCTTTCACGGATGAGACAAGCAAAAAGCTCATGCCATTGGCCGTGCACATACTGCATGAATGTGCACTGCAGGCGACTCAGAAGCCACCCTCGGCTGAGGCAACATGGAAACGTTCCAAATGTGTTCTCTCACCTCCTTCAACCCCACTGCTCCAAGATACATGCAGATATGCCTGTACTTGAAGCGGCACTTGACCTGACAAGTGAACTGCTTGAGAGCAGCCATCAAACAATACTTCGAGGTGAATCAACATTATCAAAATTAGGCCTCCAAACGCTTCAGTCTACCGCCAGACTCTGGACTCTGGACTCTAGACTGATATCACTGATATCCCAAACAAGTGAAGTCTCTGGAGTCTACAAAGAAAAATGCCAGCCTCTTATCTCCTGCACAAAAGCGGCCATGGCAATGGCTCTCACCCTTGGCCACAGCCAGCACCAGGGCAGTTGCTGCCACGTTCCTTCCTTGGATTCTTCATGATATGAAAACATGAACAAAACATGAACAAAACATGCAATGCCGCAATGCCATGCCATGCCATGCCATGCCATGCCATATGCATTATATGCCCATATGCTCCTTGCACTCCAAAATCCACCGGATTCCACCAGGCGTCGGCTGAAGGAGGCCAGTGCCTCCAGCTGGCCGCTGCGGACGAGCGCCTTGTTTTTCGCTCTTCCTCGGGTGACGGTGGCATCGAAGAGTCTGGAGATGTCTGGAGATGTCTGGAGATGTCTGGAGTATGGAGGTGATCTTGTGATGGATCCAGAAACATCCGTGCACAGGTTTTAGAGGTTGGTCGAGCTATTAAGTCCCCGATTCCTGTTTGTTTAATCAATCCTTTAAATTTATCGTGCGGGAAAACTATCCCTACTTACTCTCAGCATTATCATGGGTAATCTCGTCCGTTCTTGGTTGGGTATACAAGTATACTAATCCAATTTATGGCATGGTTCTATTTTTTTGTTGGGTAAAACATACCCCATTACCCTTCAGTGAACTAACATAGATATGGAATGATATGCATCATTTGTAGATATCCTTTTCTATGGATTTCCATAGCTGTTTATTGTATGTTTATTGGACTTATTGGAGGGCACCCACCAAATCTGCCCAACATTTTGGTCGTACAATGTGTCGCCTCCCAGTCACAAGTTGGTTCCAAAAAACAAGTCAACCAACAAACAAAAAAACTCTGAACGTTGGATCAAAGTTTCGCTATGAGCTCTGTCGACATCAGCTGAAAAGCAGCCTTGGGAAAGTAACTAAAAAATGGTTGAAAGATGTTGAAAGTGTCAAGCCAGCAGAAAATGCTGGTGAAATATGGTGAAATCACATGCCCTTAGTCAGCCAAGTGGTCCAAATAGTGTCCAAATGACAAAACCACGCAAGAGCTCCGTGTCAGAACCATGCGAATGAGACACTTCCACATTTGTAGCATCTTTGGCAGAGCATTCAATGAAGGCAATACCCAAGTCCTGCTCATCAGAGCAAGCCAACCCTCTTCCAAGAAATGTTGCCTTGTTGACTGACTCCACTTGAAATGTCGCAGAAATCTAGGAACAGCTACAAATGTTTGTCGATCTCATGCTCCTTGAACAGTCAAATGCAATATGTGGACAACCAACCCAAAAGCCCTCTAATCATTTTGAATCTTTTTGATGGATATCTAGAGAGAAAACTTCTATCAGCTCTAGCAGCTAGCAGAGAGGCGCCTCTGCTTTCTTCTTGGCCTCCTCTGTTGAGACCTGCCTTTCGGCAGTCATGTCGCATTTGTTTCCAATAAGGATCTTGCAAGTATTCTCATTCACGTAGCCTCGGGTCGCCAAGTGTTGGATGACTAGAGACAATAGCATCAAGAGACATCAAGAGACATCAAGAGTCCTTCTGGAGCAACACAGCTACTGGCTATTGAGTTGAAACAGATGATATTGCACTCTGTGTTGATCAGATGCCAAGATGCGATTGACCTCATTGAGCCACTCATCCACATGCTTGAAGGATTCCCGATCACAAATGTCATAGACCAGGATAATGCCATCCTGGGTGTAGCTACAGATTGGATCAAACCGAACATGGGAACTTTGACCCAGCAGGTGTTCAAACAAAACTCAGCCGCATACAGCGCCACGGTAGTACCTTTCTCAGCAGCATGTCTGGATCCACACAGCTGCAGCTGTTGTCAGGGCAGTTAAGTCTATACTTCAGTCATTCCATGTCAAGCTACGCGCTGGTGATCGTCCGGAATCTCTCCTGACCAGCTGTGTCCCAGATCTGGAGCTTGATTGTCCTGTCAATGGGTTTAAGCATTTCCCCTTCAGCGTTGTCACATTCATTCAACATATCCATCCAGATCTTCAAATCAGCCTCTTGCAGGCCAAGCAGCTTTTTGTCGACTGGAATAGTCTTGAATCTGAAATCAACTCCAATTGTGGTGATGTAGCCTGAGAGAAACAAAAAAAATGTGGAATTCCAGTCTCTGCGTTCTTTCAGACAGGGCCGGTCACTGTGTAACTCTACGACTGTTTGCATGAGAGCGGCTATCGGTGAAGGCATCGTCTGCGAAACGCAGGAGCAGGCACGACTTGCCAGCACCCGAGTCACCAATCAGAACCTTGGCATCCAAAGTGGTCAACTTCCCAAGGGAGATTCATCGGATATCTGGATTATTGAGTGACATGACGTATGGTGAATGGTGTGCCTGATCTATGCCTTGTTATCCCGTATCATCAGGACGTTCCCAGAGAAATTTTGAGAGCTCTCGACTCAAGGTGACCCGACATCCACGCAAAACCTTCTTCTAATGCGTCTTGTTTCCCCCATTCCTGCCACAAGAATTTTGAAGGAGCAGCCAGCTTGAATAGATGATCGTAGTCACGTTTCATCCTGCATGCTGAGATGGGGGAATCGTAAGCTTTCTTGTCGATCCAGCAAAGGACTGGTTTTGGTGTCTCTCGATTCTCTACGGTGTCTCTGATTACCTTTAGATCAACATATATTGAGACTGAATAGAAGAGTCAGCGAGATGCTGCGCTGGCGTATCTTCTTCTCCAGTTGCAGCTCTCCCACGTCCTGCTATGATCGTTGTTCAGGATTATGGGGGCGTGGCCCAAGTGACTTGTTGAGCCCAATGCAGCGGAACGAAGGTTGGTTCAGATCAGTCGGGTTTGAAACACATAGAAAGAGAAACACCAACGCTGCTAAAACATGCTAAAACAGGTTTCTCGAACACAAGTCTGAGATTCCAACTGATATCGACGGCAAAGTGCCAGAGCCGGGATAGGATGCCAACAGTTTCAGGATATTTCTCATCCAACTCTACATGTGATTCGTAGCACGTGGCAGTGATATTCAATTGAAGGTCAGGCTGTGGTGACATTCCGAAATAGTCAGCGACCGATGTCAAACGCTGTTGGTAGATTTCTCTTCGAACTTCAGCAGCTTCAGCAGCAGCTGGGACTGTTGGCGGTTCCAACATAGATCTCAGTGCCAACGCAAAAGAAAAGTTGGCCTCACCCAAAAGCAATACTTGGAGGAGACGATCGTCGCTTGATGCGTCCGCTCCTTCTTGTCGTAGACGCTTCTTGTTGCCCTTGCTCATTGCAAGCGAAAATCATGGCTGGCACTGCAGCTTCCGCGGTAGCAGCCTGCATGTTAGTAGTCCAACAATTTGGATATTCCGTTTGATCGAGATCGGCCTGTACAATATCCAAGACTGAAATGCGACTCAGAGGGTGGATGACTGTAACACGAATGCAAGCCAATTACACTGTTCACCATATTGGCTTGAACCACCATCGAAGTTTGTGACAAATGCTAAGTTTCATTCACAGTTTATGCCCATATCAAGTCCATGAAGCATCTCTGCATGCTAGGCACTGAGCATATCATGCAGTTTGCTGACTTTTTTTGGCCAATTCAACCAGCTCAACAGTTCCTCAGGGCACTAAGGAAGGCGACTCGCCGACTGGCAGTTTAAGCCAGGCAGTCAGGCTTTGGCGACCTATCGAAAGAGGCCACAGACACCATCACAGGCCGCGGTTTTAGATTCCATCAGTGGCAACGCTTCTGGCGAACGAGGATAAGAGTAGTAGACTCCACCTGTAAACCATAGAGAATGCATGAACTTGCAAGCAGAGTTTGCTGGTGACAAGACATAACGCAAACGTTTTCCATGACCACTCTAAGATTACCACACTTCCCGCCTGGTTTGCCATCTTTATAGGGCCGACCATAGCCTTGCAGCGCCAGCTTATCTGCTGCATCCAGCTCTTTAGCAGATGGGGCCTGCATTGGTCCATTTCCAAGCATAAGGAAACAATCTGGTTGAATGAAAATGTCATGGATCATGATTCATGATAGATCAACATAGATCAGGATTTTGTTTGCTGTGTCTGACTTCATGCAGTTGTGGTTGGCCTGAACCTCAAAAGGTGGCGCTTGTTGGACAAAAAAATATTTCAGGCAAAATGCTGTGTGACCAACTGAAAACCATTGAGGACCTGCCTCGACTTTGCTCCTGGTGTGCTTGTCCGTGATTTCCTCTCCTGCCAATTTTGCGTTGACTCAGTGCAGGCACTGCAGCAAAGGAAACAGAATATGACCTGTGTCTGCCTCGACAGAAAAAACAGATATGCTGGAACTGAAAACAAGGTTTCCATATATTTGTATAAATAGTTATATATGTTTGATTGTGTTTGTACATTTGGCTTAGCTGCTGAGTATTGATAGCAGCACTTTTGGCCTTAAAAGAGCATCTAAGGACAACAGATGGATGAGATGACAGAAGAAGATTACTTACCTTCCAACAGCGCAATAGCAGGTCCATCTCCTTTCACTGCATGCTTGAAGTCGGCTGGATCATAGTTTGCCAGTAAGGCATTGCTTTTTGCAAGTCGATCCATATCTTCAGCATGGGCTTTGTCGTAGTCAACACCAAGTTTTGAGATACGTTCCACCAACTCTTGAGCAGTCCTGGACATGCTTCAGCAGCGTAATTTTTCACAATAATTTCACATATTTTTCCAGTCTGCATATATGCCATATATGCTCTTCCATTGCTTCATTGGTCTTCATTGCTTCCTTGCTGAGGATCCAACAGTGTTGGGGCTTCTGGGAAAGCCGCGCCAGTAGCATACATTTTCTGCAGAGTTTCTCTCACAAATTTCAGAGGAAAGTGCCGCATGTGCATGAAGTGCGCACCACGTCTGAAGACCCCCAAGTGCGAAGGCAAAAGAGGCGGCAGCCTTGGCTGTCACGAGGGGGATTGGAGTAGTGAAACAACCTTGCCAGCGCAATCCAGCGCAACTGCACGCTGCAGAAATCATCATATTTTCTTGACTGCAAAAACCAACAGCTTGGTCGTCCACATGTACTGCAGATGCAGTTGGTATTGCGAAGGTGGCAAGTTGAATGCCATTATCACATGCTCGCGAAGAGCTTCGATAGGCATGTCATTTCCTGCCTTGGCTGTTCGCGCACGTGCCAGTTCAAGATGTAATGCCAACCAGAAAATAGAACACAAAGCAGAACGTTTGCTGGCACTGACGTGCATTCTGCTGTATGCATGATGGTAGTGAGTCTTACAGCATGTCGACCAGGTTGCAGCTGATAAAGCTTTTCGACGCCACTCTGCAGATGCCAAATGTCCCTGTCGCAAAGCAGCCCAGGCAGAGTCCTTCATCCAATCAAAAGTTCAGCCAATCGAATCAGCCTGTGCTCCGAGAAACACCATGTTGCTGCAGCTTGAACAGAGATGTCACTGGCCTCTATCCTCTTCAGCAGAGCCAAAGCTGGACCAGGATCAACAAAAAGAGACCGAATGTCAGGACCTGCAATGTGACTTTGGATACAATGCGAGCACTTTCCGATGTGAATGCATCAAGAAATCGGCAAGTCCCAGCCAATGCAAAATGTCAAAAGTGTTTTCGAAATACATTGACGTATACAATTTGCATCACTTACCACACTCGGCAAATAAGCCTCGGACAGTACACGTCTGTGGGGACAGAAAGGAGGTGAGCTCGAGTGATCGCCAATGGATCATCGAATACCATGATGTCTTTGGTTTCCAGGCGCATTGAAATTTTTAAAGGAAACGCTGTTTTGTCCACTCCAAAAATAAAAGCTACGAAAAGATTGGGACTCTTGGACACAGCTACTTCAGCGAGCGACGTTCCGCAAGCATTACCTTGGGTGACAGCATCATGGGAATTTGAAAGTTGTCGAATCAGTATCAGTGTTTATTTTGCTCTGTGTGTGTGTGTGCGTCTAAACGCAAACCAAGCATCAAAGGGTCATCGTGACAGCCTTGAATGGCAACGACCAGTGATCAATTATAAACAATATGAAACAATGCCAATTCCACATGGTCCATGGTTGTGTTCTAGAATAAATGGGGCCCCCGGCACACGGCTTTCCACAATTGGGGCATTTTAAAATCTCGTTGTAGGCTTGACTCTCAAGTTGCGGATTCGCTTTGATCCAAGCATCAAAACCGCCTGAGAGCATAATTTCCCATGGTTTGGGCAAATGCAAACCTCAAAAATTCCAAATACACACCACACTGCCTGTGATCGTTGGTTCTAGCGTTCCGCAACCCGTTGGAATGTCCACTGACGGGAACTTTTCAGGGATGGCACCTGCAAATCATGTTCGTTTCCCATGTCAAATGTCATTGGTTTGACTCTTTCAATTCCAGTTCCAACTGGAGGACGGATCATGTTTTGAGACGAAAAACAAACGACGAAAAATGCAAGTCAAATTTTGCGAACATATCAGACGAATTACAGTGTTTCCTGAATGTAATGTAAGACAAAGAAACTGTCATTTCATTGCAAATTAAGGTCCAAACAACAATTTTTGCTCATATACATTGCACTGTCACTGTTCTGCATTTTTCAACAAACTCCAAAAAACAAGGACAGTCATTACAAAACAATCAGAACACACCCTTGCCTGCCAACAAAGCACCATCCTGCCAAAATGGTGCCAAAAAATGCGTGCTCAATTCAAACCAATTGCAACATGAATGCAAGGCCTCTTCTCTGCAACCTTCCGGATTCCAGTTTGAAGACATCATTACTCGTCAAGAATGGAACTTGATGCTGACTAAATGGCTGCAAAATGTTCCATTCAAGAAATTTGCACCTGTCTCGTGTCACGATGATTTGATTTACCTAGTTTTGGATTTGTAAAAATTCAAAACAACCCATATCATCACACGTGCGCAATGAAACACATGCAAACAAAATGTCACTATGTTATACCGTTTCACCTCAAAAACCAAAAAATGCAATATTTTCAACCCAGGCAAATAAGGTTTTGGATCGACGTGCAAAATTGTGCCATCAATGAAGCAAACAATGCGTCATCCAAAAGATGTTCCAACACGTAATGCATCAATGGGACGATGATCTTGTGTTTTGATCAATCAATGGTTTGGAACGCGGTTCTCCTGAAAATTTGGCAGCCCAAAGGAGGATATCACGCGTCGACATGCAAAAAAAAAACGCAATATACAAATTTACCATCGCGGCACGTCGTTTTGGCATGTCGACGGCCGCAGTTACCTCGTTTTTTGGCATGTCGACAGGCACACGTAATTTTGGCATGTCGACGGGCATTTTAGCATGTCGACAGACGCATTTTGGCATGTCGACGGGCACATTTACTATTTTACACTCCACCATTTTTCCTTTCCAGCCTGCTTTTTGGCATCGCGGGCCGTCATTTTGGCATGTCGACGGGCGCATTTTGCATGTCCACGGGCACATTGATTATTTTACACTTTACTATTTTTCGTTTCCAGCCTACTTTTTGGCATCGCGGGCCGTCATGTTGACATGTCGAACGGCGCATTGTGACGGGCAAATTTACTATTTTACACTTTACTATTTTTCCTTTCCAGCCTACTTTTTGGCATTGCAGGCCATCATTTTGCAATGTCGACGGGCGCATTTTGCATGTCGACGGACACATTTACTATTTTACACTATACTAAACTATTTTTCCTCTCCGCGTACTTTTTGGCATTGCGGGCCGTCATTTTGGCATGTCGACGGGCGCATTTTGCATGTCGACGGGCACATTTACTTTTCCTTTCTAATTCTAACCTACTTTTTGGCATCGCGGGCCGTCATTTCGACATGTCGACAGGCCCATTTCGCATGTCGGCGGGCACATTTACTATTTTACACTTTGCTATTTTCCTTTCCAGTTTACTTTTTGGCATCGCCGACCGTCATTTTGACATGTCGATGGGCGCATTTTGCATGTCGACGGGTAATTTACTATTTTACACCTTACTATTTTTCCTTTCCAGCGTACTTTTTGGCCGTCATTTTGACATGTCGACGGGCGCATTTTGCAAGTCAACTTACACTTTACTATTTTTCTTTTCCAGCCTGTTTTTTGGCATCGCGGGCCGTCATTTTGGCATGTCGACGGACACATTTACTATATTACACTATACTATTTTTCATTTCCAGCGTTGGCATGTCGACGGGCACATTTTCTTTTTTACATTTTACTATTTTTCTTTTCCACTACTTTTTTGGCACCGCAGGCCGTCATTTTGGCATGTGGACGGTCGCATTTTGGCATGTCCACGGGCACATTTACTATTTTACACTTTACTATTTTTCCTCTCCAGCCTACTTTTTGGCATCGCGGGCCTGCTTTTTGGCATGTGGGCGGGCACATTTTGCATGTCCACGGGCACATTGTTTATCACCTTACTATTTTTCCTTTCCAGCCTACTTTTTGGCATCGCGGACCGTCATTTTGACATGTCGACGGGCGCATTTTTGCATGTCGACGGGCACATTTACTATTTTACACTTTGTTTTTTTCCTTTCTAACTTATTTCGGCGCTGTACACCTGGGTTGGCAACATATTTCTGCTGCTACTTACGTCAGAAAAAATAATCTTTGAAATTAACTTCTTTGAAGGACACAACTCTTGTCTGTGTGGACAGAGATGGCTCACGGACTTGTTGACGAATGATTCTGCCATTCTAGGAGGTGGTTTGGTCTGTGGACGAACGAACAAGACCCCTTGGCAAATTGACGGACAAAACCCCTTGGCATGTCGACGGAGACAACTCCAGGGATGTTGACGACGGATTTTGGCATGTCGGCGGACACCCTGGTTTTGGCATATCGACGACCACTGTGTTGGCATGTGGACGGTGACAATTTTTTTGCATGTCGACGGGAACTATCTTTTTTGCATGTCGACGGAGACAATCTTTTTTTGCATGTCGACAGGAACAATCTTTTTTGCATGTCGACGGAGACAATCTTGTTTGGCATGTCGACGGGAACAATCTTTTTGGCATGTCGACGGAGACAATCTCCTCTGGCATGTCGACGGGAACATTTTTGCATGTCGACGGAGACAATCTTTTTTGCATGTGGACAGAGACAATCTTGTTTGGCATGTCGACGGAGACAATTTTTTTTGCATGTCGACGGAGACAATCTTGTTTTGGCATGTCGACGGGGACAACCCTTTTGGCATGTCGACAGTTTGGCATGTCGACGCGTCGTATCCCGGCAGTCCAATTTTTTTCCTTTTCACGGAGTTCAGCCGCCAATCAGTGGCGTGTTCATCCTTGCGCGGTGGCCATGCCTGACATGTACAACTGCAACTGTTAAGAACAAATACTACACAACTGAACTGGACATGTATGTGTAAACAAGAACAAGTGAAAAAAGGTTAAGGCGCCTGTAGGGCGACCACGCTTTCTGCGTTATTTATATGTGACTTTGATCCTGTTTTCGATTCACATCCCATTATTTACAGTGTTTTGGTACATGCCATCTTCACATGCTTCGTGTGGAAGCGTCAAAAGTGCTGTAGGCGCGCCTCATTTTTTCAAAATCTTGTATTTGGCTATAGCGAAAACGTCATTTCTGACTAAACATTTCTTTCGAAAACTTCATCTCATGCCCACACGTGTTTTGCTAAGCTCCTTTTTTTCACTTCTTGCTTGTCTTCTACTGGTTATTTCCAGTAACCCAAGGCGTCATTCACTTTGGACATCAAAGCTCCTAAACTTTCTAAAACATCGGATCCTTCACTTGAAATCCTGTGTCTCCAGTACCACATCCATACATAGCGCTGCAAGCGCAAGCGCATGGCATCCAGGGACAACTGTCGAGTACTGAAAGTGCGAGGCAAAATTCCTTTGAGTGAATCCCAAATTCTGTCTAACACCTGAGTTCCTCCCAAACGATTTCGTTAACATGCCCCCCCCACCCCATGTATGCAACATAGCCTCGACACCGTATGCACTTCACATGAACGTTGCCCATGTACGCAACGTAGCATCGACACCGTATGCACTTCACATGAACATTAACATCCCCCCCACCCCATGTATGCAACGTAGCATCGACACCGCATGCACTTCACATGAACGTTCACATGCCCCCCCCACCCCATGTATGCAACGTAGCATCATGCCCATGTATGAAAGTGACAACAGTGCGGTCGCTCAAGGGGCGCCGCCACCAAGAACAAGTATTTTGCAAGTCTTGCCACATTCTCTTTACATCCGTTCTACACTCACCGCAGGTGGTCATGGGTTCAATTCCCACGGGTGACGTGGCCACAGGCCTCCACAGTAGAGCCACACTCTCCATACTCTCCATGAGGAGATGTCCCTGAAGTCCAGCATAATTGGCATGTTTCAGCCTCAGGAATGGTTTCTGCAAAGGGTCTTAAAAAGGGGCTTTAAATAAACCCCTTTTCGTGCATCATTTCACACTGCACAAGACACTGTATCATGCAGCCATGCTCTGGATTGAACATCTTATTAAAAGCCCCCTTTTTGAACACATGGACGGCGTTCTGATTTAAAACTTCTCCTTTCTGATATTCCAACACCGGTTTTGCGCAGTCTAAGATGATTTTTTCCAGAGCATGACTGCATGATACAGTGCCTTGTGCAGCGTGAAATGACACTCGAAAAGGTCTTTATTTACAGAAAAGGATGCCAGGAAAGTCTCAATTTACGACGTCTCTAAAAATGCAATGTTTTTGAGGTGCGTTAACAAAAACGCATTTGGAAGAAAAATATGTTTGCTTTACAGTTTTCTCATTGAGCATCCAAAAATGCATCGTTTGTTCTTTTAAGCAAAAAAAATGATTGATTTTATGTTTTGATAACTACTTGTTGCGGACATGTGTTCATCGTGAAGTGTGTCTTCATGCTGAACGATCCGAAGCTGCACACGCATCTTTTTGTCGACTGGGGTTGAGCTCCGGTATCGCCTTGCGGCGCGCTCTGGCTTTGGGTAGGCCCAGAGCGAGTCTCCGATCTACAAAAGTCACTGGAAATCCAAATTGACGATCGGAATGTTGTACGTTTGGCGGAAGTGATTGCGAAAGAATCTCGCCAATTGTATCATCTGGATTGTAAGCCTCAGTTTGAGGTAAGTGATGACTGCACGAAGTCGTTGACGGACTTGAAGTAGGTGCAGTGAGGCTTCTTGAAGATGATTGTCATCAGTGTAGTCACTGAGGTCGTCAGAGAGGAAATGGGACGAAAATAATTTTGTTGAAACATGGCCATGGATGTGAATCACGTTATGTGATACTTTGTAGCCAAATGTTTGACTGACTGAAATGTTGATCCATGCCATGAAATGTCTCCTGTTTCCCCTGCAGCACTTGCTGCCGTCTCACTTGAGACTGAAAATACACATCGGATAAAGATGTTCAACATGCACACAAGACAACTCAAATGACACATGTCCGCAAACTCATGTATATTCACTGGATTCATATACATTCGCCGGTCGTAGGTATGTCACATAAAAATCTATCATGATTCTCATGAGAGTATTCTTATGTTTTGATACCTACTTGTTGCGGACATGTGTTCATCGTGAAGTGTGTCTTCATGCTGAACGATCCGAAGCTGCACACGCATCTTTTTGTCGACTGGGGTTGAGCTCCGGTATCGCCTTGCGGCGCGCTCTCACCCTATGACAATGCCGCCTGTTCCCAAATTGCTTTTGGGTCAACTCTGGAACTCATCAGTCCATTCCAGATCGTCACAAAAGATCTGGACAAGTAATCAGAAGGGTTGGATTGGCTCGGTACCCTTT